TGGTTGTTCTGTAGTTGTTATAATTATGATGTGGTTGTGGGGGGATTTGAGTTCCGTATTTACCTATGTTGTCATCCTGACTGGAAATCTGTATAATCCTTTAAATATGCTGCTGAGCCATGCACGGCCGGGCATGGCCCAGTGGTTGAGCATCAACCTATGAACCAGGAAGTCACAGTTTGATTCCTGGTCAGGGCACATGCTCAGGTTGCAGGCTCTATCCCCAGTGTGGGGCATGCAGGAGGCAGTTGATCAGTGATTCCCTCTCATTGATGTTTCTACCTCTCCCTCTCCCTTCCTCTCTGAAATCAATAATAAAAAAAAAATATATATATAATATACTATATATGATTGGCTTTACTGCTGAATTCAATTTGCTAATATTTTATTCAGGATTTTTGCATCGGTGTTCATAAGGAATATTGTTTTTAGTTTTCTTATAGTGTCTTTTTCAAGCTTTGATACCATGGTAATGCTGGACTCACAGAATGAGTTAGGAAGTGTTTCTGCCTCTGACTTTTTTTTTTTAATTTGAGAAGCATTGGTATTAGTTCTCCTCTAAATATTTAATAGAATCCACCAGAGAAGTCATTAGGTCCAGGGCTATTCTTCATCAGGAGATTTTCGATTACAGATTAAATCTCCTTGCTAAATTCTAGGTCTATTGAGATGTTTGCTTCTTTATGATTTAGTCTTGGTAGGTTTTGTGTTTCTAATAATTTGTCCATTTCATTTGGTTATCCAATTTGCTGACATACTATTTTTCATAGTACTCTCTTATAATTTTTTAGTTATGTAAAATCATTGTTAATGCCCCTACTTTCATTTTTATTTTAGTAATTTGAGCCTTCTCTCTTTTTTCTTAGTCCATTTAGCTAAAGGTTTGTCAACTTTGATTTTTTTTTTAAACCAGCTTTTCGTTTCATTTATTTTTTTTGTTATTTTTCTAGTCTCTATTTTATTTATCTCTACTCAGTCATTAATGTTTCCTTCTTTCTGCCAGCTTTGGGTTTAGTTTTTTTTTTCTTAGTTCCATAAATTATAAAATTATGTTGCTTTAGAGTCTTCCTTGTTTATTAATATAAGTATTTATATACAGAGTGGGGCAAAAGTAGGTTTATAGTTCTGAGTTCATGAAACAGTTTATTCCTATATTATTATTTACTAATTTTTGAATTATTTTCCATATGAACTATAAACCTGTTTTTGCTCCATCCTGTATAGCTATAAATTTCCCCCTTAGCACTGCATTCATTGTGCCCCATAAGTTTGGATATGTTGTGTTTTCATTTTCATTTATCTCTAAGTATTTTCTAATTTCCCTTGTGATTTCTTCTTTGATCCATGGGTAGTTTAAAACTATGTTATTTATTTTTCACATATTTGTCAATTTCCCCATTTTCTTTCTGTTATTGTTTTCTAACTTCATCCTGTTGTGGTATATCTATCTTGTGAAATCAATTGAGAGTAATTTGTGGCCTAACATATGGTCTATATACTCGATATATAAGGTATCCCCCAAAATGTATATACACACTTTGAATAATTATAAAGGCAGTATTTATTAAAATACATTTTATTTTTTAAATTGAGCTGTCAGATGTAAAAGTGTGTGTACAATTTTTTGGGATACCCTGTATATTACCAGTGGGGAGGAACTTCTATCATTTTGCTATTTGTTTTCTATATGTCTTAATAGCTTTTTTGTTCCTTATTTTCTACATTACTGTCTTTTGGTTTAGTCGATTGTTTTATATCAAAATGCTTAAATTCCTTTATCATTTATTTTTGCATTTATTGTATGGCTGTTTTCTTTTAATCTGTAATCAAAGTGGTTTCCATGGAGATTACACTTACCATCCTAAAGTTATGCTCTAATTTGAATTTATAACATCCTAATTACCATAACATCCAGAAACTCCACTTTTTTACAGCTCCATCCCTACTCTTTTCAGTTGTTGATGTAACAAAATTACATCTTTATAGAATATGTGCCCCAAAACAAACCAATAATTATTTTAAATGCATTATTCTCTTAAATTATATAGAAAATAAAATGGTGAGTTACAAATAAGTACCATAATACTAGACTTAGACTAATAATTGTGTTTTTAAAAATGTATTAGTCATTTAAATCATGTAGAAAGCAAAAAGTGGAATTATAAATCATTGTTACAATAATACTAGATTTTATAATTGCCCACCTATTTACGTTTATTGAGATATTTATTTCTTCATGTGGCTTCAAGTTACTGTCTAGTGTCCTTTTTATTTAATCCTGCAGGACTCCCTTGAGCATTTTTTCACATCAGGTCTAGAGGTAATGAACATCCTCAGCTTTTGTTTATCTGGGAATGCCTTAATTTCTCCTTCACTTTTGAAGGACAGTTATGTTAAATATAGGATATGATTCTTGGTTGACAGTTTATTTTAGTACTCTGAATATGTCAGCCCACTGCTTTCTGACCTGCAAAGTTTCTGACGATAAATCTGCATATTTTCTTTTTTAAAAAACATTTCTTTATTTGGTTAAGGTATTACAAATGTGTCCTCATTCCCCCATTAACCCCCAACCCCTCCGCGCCACTCATGCTCTCTGCATATTTTCTTATTAAGGCTCCATTGTATGTAATGAGTCTCTTCTCTCTGCTGCTTTCAAGATTCTGTTTTTGACTTTTCAGAGTTTGATTATTACATAGCTTGGTGTGAGTCTCTAAGTTCATCTTACTTGGAGTCTGTTGAACTGATTAAATGTTTGTATTCATGTCTTCAAATCTGGGAACTTTTCAGCCATTATATCTTCAAATATTAGCTAGTAATATTATATCTAATGATAAATCTTTCTGCATATGCATTTCCATTCCCCATGTTAATTTGCTTAGCAACAGTGCCAGGTAGGAAGATCACACAAAATGCTGAGAAATGCTACTGCTCTCGATTTTAATACTTTCCAAAGCACAGGAAAGTCTAGTATATTTAACATGGGAAAGATAGAATTTAAAAAGTAAAATATTGCCCTAGCTGGTTTGGCTCAGTGGAGAGAGCGTCGATCTACGGACCCAAGGGTCCTAGGTTCGATTCTGGTCAAGGGCACATGCCTGCTTTGTGGGCTCGGTCCAACGTGTAGAAGGCAGCCAATCAATGATTCCCTCTCATCATTGATGTTTCTATCTCTCTTCCTCTCTCATCATTGATGTATCTCTCTCTTCCTCTTCCTTCCTCTCTGAAATAAATAAAAATATTTTAAAAATAAAATAAAAATAAATAAAAAGTAAAATATACCAATTAGGAGTAGAGGAAACTACCTTTTTTTCATCACTATTAAAGTAATATATTATGCTTTTTAAAATGATGTAACACTATTCCATAATTTAAACATTAATTCTACTTTTGCTGCTTTTTTATAAAAGAGAAAACATAATGGATGTATTACATGAAGCACTTCCTATTTTAGGCTGAGTGGAAAGAACAGCTTGTTGGCAGAGTGGAAGAATAGATTTTAAACTAATGGAAATAAGCCAAATTATTTTATATTAAAGTTTGGAATATACTCTGTCAGTAAAAAGTGAAGCTGTTGGTATATATGAAATGGAAATACACACACACACACACACACACACTTCTTTATCCATTCATCTGTCAATGGACACTTAAGTTTTTTCCATATCTTGGCTATTGTAAATAATACTGTACTGAATGTAAGGAATGCCTATATATTTTCAAATTAGTGTTTTTATAATCTTCAGATAAGTACCCAGAAGAGGAATTGCTAATTTATCTCTTTACTTTCATTCTATTTGTATCTTTGAATCTAAAGTTTGTCTCCTGTAGACAGCATATAGTTGGATTTTTAAATCCCTGCCTTTTGATTGAGTTGTTTAATATGGATCATTAAACAACATTTAATCTTGTTTGATATAATGCTCTAAAATTTAAATCTCCATCAAACTAGCTTGCTAATGTTATTTTAATAATGCTAATATGTAAAGGTCATTCTTCATTTAGATATCAAATCATCAGTTTCCAACCCACATGGTACTGCACACCATGTTACTACACACCAATATTCTTTGACAGAGCTGAGGAAGGCAAAGAAGGGGTGTAGAAAAGAGAATTTGAACTACAGGGTCTCTCAATGAGAAGGGTGGTAGGATGTAAGGGGAGCAACAATAATAGAAACATCTCCTGTTCTTCGATTGACAATGAGAAACACTATTTGATAGATATTTGGGTTAATTTCAAGAGAATCCACTTCTAGACTTCAGTTGAAACAAAAACTGCTTTTGCCAACCCACTCAATTTCCTTTTGTTTTTAATCCTTATCCAAGGATATTTTTCCGTTGATTTTAAGAGAGAGGGAAAGACAGAGAGAAATATCGATATGAGAGAAACACATTATCTGTTGCCTCCTGCACGAGCCCTGACCAGGGCCTCAGGCCAGGGTGGAGCCTGCAACCAAGGTGTGTGCCCTTGACTGGAATCGAACCCAGGACCATTCAGTCCGCAGGCCAATACTCTATCCATTGAGCCAAACCAGCTAGGGCTCAATTTCCATTTTAATTTGAAAATCTCAACTGAAATTATTTCAGTAAACAGTTTTATAACTCCTACTTTTACCTCTCTTCACTTGGTACTCAGTAGTAGCATTTCTGTTTTAATATGCCAAAACTTTATGAAGATGTACTTCATATTTTGACTCTAACCTAATTAAATCTATACCAACATAGATACAGAAGTAATTTAGGACAGTGATTTCAGCATAGAATTGATTCCCTCTCCTTCCATACATTAGAGGAGAATAGTTTTGAATTGAGCAAAAGTGGATGTTCTCTCCTTTCTGTTTTCTTCTTTTAAAAGACTCTTGTACAAGATTCTGGTGAAATAATAGTAATTAAGGTAGAAATAGATATTAAGTGGCTATATGTCCAAGATATCAGCCTGAACTCTGGAAAAACCGTTAGTAACACAAACAATTATGCTTTCACCTTTCTAATGGCCAGGATATTCAATCCCAAAGCTTGATGTGAGCTTTCCATTGGAGCAAAGAGAAGAAGCATGGGTGAAGGAGCTACAAGATTCCAAAGAAATTAAACAATTACTTGAATCCAAGATAGGTAAGTAATTATTCATTGATACTAGAGAAGAAAGAAATGAAAAAATCATCCTTAATCAGGGTAAAGAGTTTTGGCTTCCATTTAGTAATTTCTATATCTCTACTGATGGTTTACTATAACTCTTCATTTTTCTTCATGTTCTTTTTTCTGTGGGACACAGTGACATCTAGAGTTTCTGTCTTCTCCTAGGTTTTGAGATCGGGATAGAAAATGAAGAAGATACTTCAAAGCAGAAAAAACTGGAAAATATGTACCCATTTCTTGTTACTTTAGAGGAGAATGCTAACCATGGTCCCATATTGCAAAAAGACTATGTACAGTTAGAAAATCAATGGGAAAAACCCCCAGAGGATTTACAGACAGATTTGACAAAACTTGTAGATCATCAGAATCCCTCTATAGGAGAGAAACCTGAGAGCTCTAGCTTGGAAGAACCTCTCAACCCTAGAGCCCATAAGAAAAAGAGTCCAGGAGACAAACCTCACAGATGTTCTCAGTGCGGAAAATGTTTTGCCCGGAAATCACAACTTACAGGGCACCAGAGAATTCATTCAGGAGAGGAACCTCATAAATGCCCTGAATGTGGAAAAAGATTCCTTCGTAGTTCAGACCTTTATAGACACCAACGACTTCATACAGGGGAGAGACCCTATGAATGTACTGTGTGTAAAAAGCGATTCACTCGGCGCTCACACCTTATAGGGCACCAGAGAACCCATTCTGAAGAAGAGACTTATAAATGCCTTGAGTGTGGGAAAAGCTTTTGTCATGGATCAAGTCTTAAAAGACATCTGAAAACTCATTCGGGTGAAAAACCTCATAGATGTCACAATTGTGGGAAAAGTTTTAGTAGACTGACAGCTCTTACTTTGCACCAGAGAACTCACACAGAAGAGAGACCTTTTAAATGTAATTATTGTGGGAAAAGCTTTAGACAGAGACCAAGCCTTGTTATCCATTTAAGAATTCATACAGGGGAGAAGCCATACAAATGTAGTCATTGTTCTAAAAGTTTCAGACAGAGAGCAGGCCTTATTATGCACCAAGTCACTCACTTTAGAGGACTTCTTTAAGAATTATTAAAGGAAATAGGTCATGCAGAAATTGGCACTAACTCAAAAAAAAATCTTAACTTGAAGCAGTCTGTTTGTCTTGGAAGAATCTTTTTTGTTTGAGCTTATAGAAACAGATTTTCTTTTCTTTTTTTTTTTTTTTTACTATTAAAAACCTATCTTCCAAGGCATGTGAATTCTAGAGTATCTACCTATTCTTGCAACTCTTACGACTTTACTAGATTTGATGTATTCTATCTTTACAACTCTTACTTTTTAATGAAAATGAAAATGTTTGTGTCCCAAGCCAACCATATCATAGATGAAAGCATAAAACATCTAGGGTAGGGTCAATATAATGGATAACCATGTCTATCTGGTATATTATAGCAGCACCATAATTATTCTGCTGTCATTATTAAAGGTGGTTATATTAGTTTAAAGCTTTATTTGTGTTCCAAGTGGCAAGAAAGGAGACAGTGTATTTTGTTCAAAATAAAAATATGTCAGGAACATATGGATAAAGAGGATTTAATTTGCCTCATAAGAACTGGGTTATTTCCATTGAAAATATTTATGTTTAAGAAATTAAGATTTTAACCTCTTTGAATTTTGCCAAATTTGCTAATCTGCTTATTTGGCTATTTGTTAGAGCTGTTAATTTAATGGTTTATTTTGTTCACTGAATGAATAAACTCTAGGGGGAAGAATCCATTTGACAATTGAAGTCATATAATTAGAACCTGATTCAAATTAGATTGACTAATTTGAGGAGCCAGTGTTCTACGCTCAACCACTGAGCTATGCTGGCCAGGCAGTGTCCATTGCTTTTTACTATCCTTTGGTATTCAAATATTACTCATTCTTTAATTCAGTGTCTCCCTAAGTGTGTGTCATAGAACACTTAGTTCTATAAGATATTTTGCAAATAAGGTTGGGAATCCCTGCTGTTTCCCCTTTCTAGATTCACAGTGCATATCAGCATATGAGAATCTCTGATAGGTCCTTCAGTAAAGGCAAAAAAAGCAACTCTGTTGGCTCAATGTTTTGACCCTAGAACCCTTTTTCATGTACACCCAAGTAATAACCCACAGAACTAGTATTCTGCAAATATCTCTTGGAACACATGCCTTTAACATATATTTCTATAGTTATCAATATAGTCTTATTACTCCCAAGCCTAGTTATCTCCAGTCATTTGAAGGGTGTTATGAAAAATTCTTTACACATGTTTTTATGTAATACACACATAAACATACACACATATTTTAAGGAGGTGAGGCTCACTGATTCAGATACTTTATAAGTTGCTCAGTGATTCTCAACCTCTTTGAATTTTACTTATAATCACATACATACACATTGCTACTTATATAAATGTTCTCATATAATCATAGTAATGACTCAAACTCCTGTAGCAAGGGAAGAATTCTTTGTCAGTTAAAGCTGTTAATACATGAAAATATTCATTCAGCCTAGTTCCTTGTTATAAAATACAAAAAAAATAGGACATTCAAGTATTTTCCCTTTATGAAGATACCAGTCATCTTTTCCTTAAACTAGATTTAGGGAAAGTATATTTTTTCTATTCCACTGAACTTCTTGGAAGTCATATTTAAGTACTTTGGGGGTATCTACTTTGTGCCTAACTAGTCCTGTTCTAGGCTTAATGGAAACTAGTAAAGAAATTAATTCATGGGTCAGGTTCATAAAGAGTTTATAATATCTTTAATTAAACAAGAGTTGGGAAACAAATGGAGAAGAATGCAAGAGAGTTTGTATTAAGTGCCAAATCATATCAAGTGCTAAAGCTAGGATGTGTCTTTAATTATTGTCATCCAGTCCCTGTATGACGCTGCTATAAATGTGGGATTAAATACTGAGATCCTAGTAGCAATAAAATGTAACATGGGAGGAGTCTGAATGTAGAGATGAAAAACACTGAATGTAATGGCTTCTCTTTTCTCTCTTGTGGAATTGCATTCCAACCAGAATAGTGCCTTAGAATGGATGTGCCCAACTGCTCTGTATCTATGCAATATTTTAATAAAGTGGAAATATATATATGCTCTTTCTGCTTCAATCACATAAACTAATTATTTGCACAACTTAGAGCTGCTTCCATGAGCAGTGGCAACAGGCACCACAATTGACTCCTGCCCCTAAGCTGGAATCACTTTACTCTCTGCATTTAATACAGTCAATTTTAGCCAGTAGGGATAGTTGTAGTCATAATGTGAGCTACATCCTCCCCTTCATAGAACATCCATTATTTATTTTGAGGCACTGAATCAAGAAATACGAGAAATAGTTATTGGAAAAATAGATCATAGAACATTGTATGAGTGTCCCTAATTTTACTTCACAAAAGTAAGGGCAAAATACAGTACAAAAAATACAGTACCTACCTATCGTGTAATCAGTATGAGGGTCAAAAACAGTACCCACCTTATAAGTACTATGAAGATTAAATGAAATACATTTTGTTCAGGCCCTACACAGTGTAAGCTTTCAATGAATATCCAGCATATTGTGTTTTATTTTTTGGTTTTATTAATGATAAAAGCATTTTAAGGCTATGGACTTTCCTATAAATATGGCTTTGGTCACATTCCATAGTTTTTATATATAATGTTTGTATTAATCAGGATTCTCCAGAGAAACAGAAGCCAATAAATATATATATAGAGAGAGAGGGGAAGATCTTTGTTATAGGAATTGACTCATGTTGTTATGAAGATTGATAAGTCCCATAATCTACCATCTGCAAGCTGAAGAAAAAGTAAAGCTAATGGTATCCTTCAGTCTAGAGCAGCCATGGGCAAACTACGGCCCATTTGAAATGAATAAAACTAAAAAAAAAAAAGACCGTACCCTTTTATGTAATGATGTTTAGTTTGAATTTATATTAGTTCACACAAACACTCCATCCATGCTTTTGTTCCGGCCCTCCAGTCCAGTTTAAGAACCCATTGTGGCCCTCGAGTCAAAAAGTTTGCCCACCCCTGGTCTAGAGTCTGAAGACCTGAGAACCAGGGGATCTGATGGTGTAACTCAGCCAAAGTCCTGAGACCTGGGCAGGGGGATGTAAATCATGAAATATGAAAGCCAGAGAACCAGGAGCTCTGATATCTGAGGGCAACAAAAGATGTAGGTTCCAGCACAAAAAGTGATGGAATTCACCCTTCTCTGTCTTTTAGAACAATTGTGGTTCTCAATGTATTGGATGATACCTACACACACACACATTAGTGAGGGCAGATCTCTGTACTCATTCTACTCAATCAAATGTTAATCTCTTTGAAAAGCACCCTCCAAGACACACCCAGAAATATTTTACCAGCTATCTGGGCTTCTCTTAGCCCACTCAAGTTGGTATATAAGATTATTTATCACAGTGTTATTATTGATAATTTAAAAATTGTTTGTTATTACTGTTTTCATTAATATTCCCTCTGACCCAAGAGCTGTACAATATTGCCATTTTCCACTTCATTTTTGGTTTTGCTATATTGTGATTAGAAAAATGCAGTTCATTCTATTTCTGCTTTTAAAGTTCATTTAGTTTTTTTAAAGACATATTTGATAAAATTTGGTAAGTATCCTAAAGACCCTAGAAAATAAGGATTTGATCTGTAAGGCAGAGGTTCAGAATACAGTATTGGACCTCTCAATTAAGTTAATGTCTTTAGGAGTGTCCTTGGTGCTTATGAAGGGACAGTGACACAGAATAGATTGCCTTGCTCCCCATTCTGAAAACCAGAATCCTGGTATTCTCCATTCCCCTCTTAAGAGTTTTATATTTTTGACCCATTTTATGAATGTCTTATAGCAATTATTAATAGCTTCCCAGCTATCAAAGCTGGCAGTTAAAGCTGAAAGCTAAAGGACCTAGGAGAGACCTAGCCTCTCCATACCAGGATGAGGAAGCTCTCCCTTGAGATTCCAGAGTAGTTTGTTCTGAAAGCAGAAAGATAAAGCAACTCTGCAGCAGTGGTCCTCCTGAATCAGCAGGGACTGTTTGACAGTGTGCTGAGGAGGTTGTCTAGGCCAGGGGTCCTCCAACTTTTTAAACAGGGGGCCAGTTCACTGTCCCTCAGACTGCTGGAGGGTCAGACTATAGTTTTTTTAAAAACTATGAACAAATTCCTATGCACACTGCACATATCTTATTTTAAAGTAAAAAAAAAACACATAATGGGAACAAATACAATATTTGTATTTGCATGTGGCCCGCGGGCCATAGTTTGAGGACTAGGCTAAAGTCAAGGTAATCAGAGAACATACAGGTGAATCAGCCCCCAAGTGGCTCACCATCAGGTTGGGGAGCAAAGACATTACACTCTTCCCTCTTGCATCTGCAGTCATCATGGCATTCTGAAGAGAAACATTCTGGGCACCTCCAAGAAGCTACATGATCTTTGTTCCTGATACCCTCTCTCATTTCTAGCCTAGTCATGTGGGCTGAATATTCTTTTAAAGAACTAAAGCTCACACTTAAAACTTGAGCAGCCCCTGCTTCTCTAGTCCTATTTGACAGATATAGAACAGATAGAAAGGCAGCTCATCTCTTCGTCTTGCCTCAGTAATCTGTTTACTCAGCCCCCTATGAATGTCACATCCATTTGCAGCTAGGATTCAAGGTCTCTGAGAAGGGGCTAATGCACAAATGAATATACTATACAAGAAATATAAATTTAGAAGGCATGGGGGAGCCAGACAGATAACTTCCCTCTAGTGGAGAAGCTCTCTGACTTCTTGGTCCCCTTTGCTTTTATTCACTTGAATACACATTTGCCCTTTAGGAAAGCAAACAGGCATATCATAGGTAAAGTTTGGTAAACAGTAAAAGGATTATCAGGTTAGGGGATTGCCTTCAGCCATTTTGCCAACAGCAGGGTAATATAAAGCTGATTTTCAGCCCTGCTGAATATCAAAGTCCATTAGCCTTCTAGCGGACTTCTTGAATTTATATGTTAACTACTTTTGGTCTTTGCCTCCAGTAGCCCCCGATTCTGGAATTTTAACTTTTGGGGTTGGGTGTGGTGGTAGAGCCTTTTCTCACCAGAATGATGTATAGTATAGGTTAGTCTTTAGCCTTTTCCAGCTTGCATTGTCAGAGAGGACATCTCAGACATCTAGCAAGGCCTAAGTTCACATTTTTAAGCATCCAAAGATATTAAAAAACTGTATATCTTCCTTCTAAATGAATGAAACCCATCTCAATCCCCAAAAGACATGATTTTCAAAATCAAAGTTTTATCACCAAGGGATTACCTAGAACCATGGTTGGCACACCGCGGCTCGCGAGACATATGCAGGCGCGCACGTAAGTGCGACTGAAACTTCGTGGCCCATGCACAGAAGTCGGTATTTTGTGGAAGAGCCATACTCAAGGGGCCAAAGAGCCCCATGTGGCTCGCGAACTGCGGCTTACCAAGCCACAGTTTGCCGACCACTGACCTAGAAACTTGATTCCTATATTAGAGAACCAGTTTACATTCAAAAGATATATAACTACTAAGTCACTGAAGAATTTCTTCAGGTTTTTATTTGAAATAAGCAGTATCAGTAGTCCGTTTTGACTGCACCTTGCCTCTTACTGCTGCACTCAGAATTTTCTTTCAACAGAGCAATGACATATTCCATCCATGATCTTCCCTCCTGGACACTCCTACCACCATATTTACCTTTCAATATGGCCTGCATTTTGAAGTGCTATATTCTGAAGGGAAAAATGTTCAGGATAAAGAATACAAAGGACTTGTATGCATGC